ATTTCAGGAATTTAAATAGTTTACAGACATAGAAGCCCTCGCTGATTATTTCATCCAGCATTGTTGATTTTCCTCTGTTGTTTGTTGGCAGCCACCATAATTAATGAATAAGACCCTGGAAGTCATGACAATGAGTGGGTTTAGTCTTAAGTCTGCGTATTTTCCTTTGTGATTGCATGCCAATAAAATAACTGATTCGTTTTTTTGTAAATTGAACCAAAGGGAGCCAAATAAGGCCTCTCTCTGCTATTAATTTGTTTCTTTCAGAGTCCAGTGTTTCCAAAGGACATTAATTTTGATTTCTCTTCTGAAAGCTTGTGGTTGCCCCTCATGCTTTACAAAATATTCCCAAATCAGAGCTGAAAAGAAAATTGTAAGTGAACAGTATTTCAAAACAGTTATTCTTTATTATTTAGAAAAAATTTCCCAGATTTCTCTATAATTCATTCCAATATGTTCACTTTGTAAGAGATGTAGGGCAAGTAGAAAGGGAACACACCAGTGAAAAAGACCTTTTTATTCTGTGAAAGGTTGATATTTAAAAATTTTAAGAAACATTTTATAAATAAGGTCAGCTTTGCAAGAAAAAAGTTTATTCTTGACCATAAGCAGGTACCTGTGCCTTACTGTTACAAGGTAAAATGTATGCAAAATACGGACATACTAGCTTAGTCCAGTATTTGAATCCTTCAGATCAAGAAAGTTTTTCTTGGAATTTTTCAAATCAGAGTATTGCTTTTCTTTAAGAGAGAAAATATTTATGCTAATGAAAACTATCAGATTCAGTGTCTCTGTTAAACAGTTTATCCCAGGCCACTGGGACTTGAAGTAATATGTTATCTCCTTACATTAGAAAAGAAATACTAGAAAATATAAGCTCTTCCAAATATGTGCTAGATTTGCTCTGATTCCTGAAGAACAAAGTTTATAATACCATCTCCACTTAAAGAAAATCACTACTTGATTATCTATTACTTCTTTACAAAGGTGTCTATTTCTGAGAAAAGAACAATCTTAAAATCTCTAACATTACTATGATAGATAGATAGATGATAGGTAGATATAGATAGATAGATAGATAGATAGATAGATAGATAGATAGATAGATAGATGATAAATAGATAGGTAGATAGATAGACAGACATGGACAGATAGATGATAGAGATATTCCAGAAGCCTTTCCTTCTAGTTAGCAGAAAGGGGTACCATGTTAAGTTGCATGTAGGTTTAGTTGAAGCTGCTTGCAGCTATTGTACAAACATCTGAACCTAGAGACCATGTTTTTCTAATCAAATACAACTATTTAAATTGCCCCCTTACCACACACACCCCCTGGAGGTTGAAGGGAGAAGACTTCAGTAGAAACTGTCAGCAGTACATCACTCTTTGGTGCTTTGGAGTTGTAATTTCTAATATTGTTTCAGCTTGGTCAAAATAATGATCTTCCATGGCTTCTGTGTACTGCAATAATTTAATAAAGTAATAGGACTTACTCTTGAAAGAAAAGTGCTCATTAGCATTTGTAATTCCATGTTGTGCTTCACATTAAGTGCTGTGAAAAGGTTATGGATCTACTCACCATAGCATCAAAAGTGTAAAGGTAATAGGTGAAATTTTCATTGTTTCGAGTGCTGAGAAATAATCATTTAAAGGTCAGTTGCACTAAAAAAAAAAGAACATTTGTTTAATAAGTAACTCATTTTGGGATATGCTGCACTTTCAAAGGTTACAGAGTACACCAATTTGCCAGTGATGTCAGCAAGAAGTGCTTTTAGTCATTGGCCCTATTAAAACAACCCTTCATAAACAAAAGGTGAGAAAATATGTTTGTACATGCATGCACATACCATCCCACATCTGATTCATTCTATTTTGCTTCATTCAGTTTTATTAATTTCTAAGGACATGACCATGTGTCAAGAGTTATAAGATTCCTCACTGGATCGTATACCAACATCTTGTTAGAAACTCTTATGTAAATGAAACAAATATTGATTCAGTATGTAAATGAAAAAGTATTCATTTCTAGCCTTTCAATTCTAATACTAACTTTCCTTCCCTGCTTTTCCCCAAAAAAGCCAAAGAGAATTTGTTTTGGCAATAAAATGAAGTATTAACCATGTCTGTAGACAAGAGGATTAACAATAATTGTAATATGGGCAAAATTTTTTTAATACCAAAGGGTTTTTTTTTCATGATCTGAATAAAAGTAGTGATCTGTTTAATATAACATTCATACTGTTAAAATTTTTGCCTTTAGGGAATTGATGCACAAGAAATAGAGTTATTTTGTTGCTTTTATATTTAGCATTTTTGAAACAAAGTGTTTTTTAACTGGCAGTAATTTTCTTCAGAAGATTATCCCTTGGCTTGAGATGTCTATATGAATAAGTATATGAACAAGATAGCTTTAAGAATAACCTCTGCAGAAAGCAATCCCTCTGAACACTTGATTGCCTAAGATTTACATTTAGTTTTGACTCTACATAGGTTGCAAACCATCCTAGTTGTGACATTTTGTTGGTGGTAAACAGTGAGTTCTCAGATTTTATAAGGAGTTGATTTTTAACATATGCTGAATAAGAAATTTAGTTACAGTTTAGAACAACACAGTTTCATGCAGACTTCTAAGATTCATTGTACAGATTAAAAGCACTAGAAAGCTTGTAACTCTTACCCTATTGTAAAGTTAAGAACTGTCTTTATGTACATAAGACATTTGCAATTAGAAGAAAATACGACACTCTTATTTCAAACAACTTAGCTAAGAATCAAGTTATTCTCTTAATTTGCCTTGCTTTTCATTTGAAAGAGCAAAATCTATTTCCTGGGCAATTTTGCAGAGCAAAGATATTAATACTTTGGGGTTTAATTGTATCCTGTGTTTAAATACACTGTGGGTGAAACCCCAGACCTCTGCTTAATTGCTGTGAGAAAATAGCCTGATTTCGCTGAGATTAGGCACACGCTTATGTATACTTTGACCCAAGAGTGCCTCCTTCAGAATTAATCTTCTAAGGTAGAGGGATTTGCTTTTATATGTGCAGCAGGGCCATTCGTGACAAAGCGGGCCTAATAAACTAACTTCACCCTCCAGACCTCGCTTTTGCTGTCAACGTTTTTCTTCATCTATTCATTTCACACATCTCTTGTCCAGAGGTTTATTAGCAAAACTCTAAACCAGGGAGAAGGAATAATTGTAATGGTGTTTTTTTTTAATTAAAGGGCTTTGAAATTTAAATCAAACTCTTCAGAACTAAAACTAAAAAAAAAAAAAGCCTTCCATTTTTACTAATGAAACTTAGAGTGTGCTAAAATAACTCCATTAAGTAAATATCGTAGCCCTGTGAAAAGACAAACAATTCATATTTACTTAAAATTTGTTCTGCAGCTGTATTTTGTTGGATTTGTCTAATGTGTATGAAAGCACTTCTTCTTTCCCATCAGCTACATCAGAATTGTTTTTGTAAGATATAACAGAATGTTCTGGTTTTTAAATATTTATATTAATCAAAGTTAGGGTTGTTTATATTTTTTGGCAATAGGGTTTTTCTTTAAAAGTGATGCACTTCCATTTAACTAAACAAAAGTGTTGAAATGGCCTGTCATATAAACTTCAACATAGTATAGTTAGTAATAGAAATTCTGAACACAGGAAGAAAAGGGAGCTAGTTTCTCGGCTTCAGGTTAAACATGGATTAATAAAATGTGCAACATTTGTAATTTCCAAGATTTTCCTGAGGAGACGTCACTCATTGCCACTTATGAACTATGGAGTTACCTGGCTGGAAGGTTTGCATTCAAGTTTCTTTCTGTTTTCTTGGAGCATTGGTAAGTCAAGCCTAAAAGCTGGCTAGAAATGACAAACCACTAAAGCTTGGGGCTTCAGTCATTCAATTAAATTCCATTATATTTTACATATTTTTAAACCATTTTAGAATTGGAAAAAAAATACCTTCATGTTACTTACCTGAAATCTCTCTATTTGTGAACAGAAATAGCTCAAATTCAGGCATTTGTTGGGTCAAACCTCCAGCTATCATTGGAACATGGATGTCATATGGCTGATAGGGAACTGTATGATCTATCTAGACTCTCATAAGAGAAATGGAGTCTTTGTTAAAGACATTAAAAAAGAAGTCTTTTATTAAAATCTTTATTAAAGCCAACCTTCATGAAATTCATTCATAGTTTTATATAATTCTTTTGTAGTTTGGATAATCCCAAATATTCTGGAAGCTTAATAAAACACAGCTTTCAGTAGACCGGTCCTTTGGGGATTTTGTTGGTGTTATTTTCATTTGGTAGTTCAAATTGTATTTGATTCACTTCTAAGGAAAATTATCCTAAATAGCAAGACTGGGCCAGAACACTTTAGTCCCTAAAATGGAAGTTATAAATGCTTTAGCTTTCAGGGAGTGGTAAACACCTATCAAAGAAATAGGAAGTATATTATGCATTCCAAGCAGAAGGGCTAAAGGTCTCCTGTTCGAACTTTTGGCCCTTCCAGAATCCCTGATCCTTCATTATTTTGTTTAGCTTGCTGTGTAAGTCTTGACCAGTAGCTGACTCTGAGAAAACATTTCCTGACATCATTTTCAGAGGTGATGTGAGATTATTATGCTTGCCTTTTCATTTGGGTTGGGAATGAAAAGTCCAAAAGTGGTTCCCAGTTAATACTTTGTGTATGGTCTTTTAATTAGCAGCTCAGGCTAATTCATTCATTTAGCCTTTAGCATTACAATTTCATTTTCAAACGTGTGTTTAAATAATCAATGAACACATACAAACATTCATAAACAGACAAATACTTTTAAAGGGGCAAAATGTGCTATAGTAGAACAGGAAAGAAGTAGACTCTCTTTAATTACTCCATTCATAATACAAAGTGGTGAGGGAAGAGCAAAAAAGATCACGCATGGTACATTATATATAAAATTGAAGTCTCTCAAGTAATTTACTTTTTTTATTGTACCAACTAAATGAAAATAAATATGCATTTCATTATGTCACACTCACACTGTTATGGATTATTATTAATATCTTGTTTCCAGTCTTGGTATAATCCAAATCTGTGCATTAACCTCAGTAGGGGGTTTTGCTTGAGGTAATTGACATTATATAGTCCAAAGCACAGAAAGAAGAAAACATATCTATAATCTTTACCTATTTCTAAACAGAGGGGGATAATCAGACCAATTCTCCTATTGTGTGCCCTCCCTCTTCAAGCAGTTTCCTTTGAAGTCAGAGGGAGTTCGAGGAGCTGAGGCTGAGAATGTGGCTGGAGAAAAAGAATGAATATTATCAGGTCAGATTCTCATAAGAAGTTTTATGCCACATTAACCATTCAGTTTCCTATAATGCAGAGCCTTTATCATTTTAACCTTCAGGTTTATTCTAAGATCACTAAAATAATTTCTTATAATATACTGGGGATTTTTCTTATGCATATTTATTTGAACTCCCTAAAGTAGATCCACAATGCAGCCCTTCAAAAACATAAAATCTTTTATTTTTTAGAAAAATCTGTAAATTTAAAAAGCATCATTTTCTAGGAAATCTAGATGTTTATTTGGAAATCTAGATGAATAAGAAACACTGACCAATTAAACTGGCCTCCGGGGTGATTTCAATGCAGAAAAGTTAGAATGTAGGTGGGGGGTTACTATTTGTAGAGCGGTTTCTCTCAGTTCTCCCTTGCTTACTACCACCTTCAAGGAGAAAGAAAATGTAGGCTTGCATTGATGTCTCCTAGCTAAATTTCAGGTTCAGTACTGCCAGTTGGAAGTTTATTTCTTAGTGTCTGTTATGAATCACAGGAAAAATGAACTTGTGTGAATGCATTGGAGGCAAAGTTATATAAACTCGGGCAATAATGAATTGAAGGTGTGGACAGTCATTCGATTAAGGGGAACAGACAGTTGTCCAAAAATTCCCCTCAGTTTCCAGATGTCCAACAAGAGGAAAATGACTGAAGGGAGGACCCAGAATAGAGCTAGCTTGTCAGGCTGAGAAGCTATCTAAGAACAAGCCAAGTTCTTCATTCAATTAGTATGTCTATTTCTTAAGAATACTATGCTAAACAATGTAATAATTATTACAGATACAAAAACAATTCCCATGACCCTTTAAAAATTCAAATTTGTGCAGCAACAAAAGATGTGTTAATAAATAATCACAAAAAAATATGACAAGCATCATAACACAGCTGAGTACTAAGTGCTATAGGGACACTGAGGAGGGAATTATTATTTCTTCCTGGAATTTGGAAAGAAGTTCTGGACTGGTCCATAGCGGTCTCACAGAAAAGTTGATATACAAACTGTGTCTTAAAGTATAAGCAGGTATTCACAAACAGAAGGAGGAGGAGCCGTCTCAGGCAGAAGGAATAGCATGAATTCAAACCAGAGTCTTATTCAAGGAATAAGAATTTTCTGAGTCTGATGGCACTACATGGTGTACAGGCTGCTTGATGGGGGAAAGAGTGTACTGTAATATGGTTCCAAAACGCAGCCCAATAAACAAAGCTTTGTATGTTATGCTAAAGAGTTGAGACTTCATCCAGGAAACAGCAGAAAGTCACCAAAGTGTTTAAGCAGGGGAGTAACATGATCAGAATTATGTTTTAAAAGACAGTTGTCATCTGTACAGAAGAAGGCTTGGAGATTAACAAGAATAGAATAATGCTTATCAGTTACTGTAAATTTGAGAATTGAAAATGAGTGAGACCTCTGCTATGGTAATAAATTGGGGAAAGATTTTAAGGGGTAACTTTTTTTTTTAATTGGCAACCTCAATCGGTACAACTTTTCATGTGCATTCTACAGAGTTTGGGTCAAAGTGATAAGCATGGATAAACCATTTTTTCCAGTAGAGTCAATAGTAGAAGATGGTATCTAAAGTGAGAATTCCTATCAGTAGTGTCCAAGATTGAAATTCTTCTGAAAATTATTTATTTAGGGAGTGCCCTCAAGAGAGGGGGAGCAAGAGAAGTGAAACACACAGAATTAAATAGCCGAGAAGGATGTGGTCTCAGCTGAAAACCAGCCTTAGCTTAGCCTGGTCCTTGGGGGACTCTGGAACATGCTTGTATCATAGGGCTAATCTCTCTTATACCAGGGAGAGCAATTTTCAGCTAAGATGCCACTGCTCGAATGAGAGAAAATCTCTGGAAAGAGTGCATGCATGAGCTGTTAGCAGCCAAACACTCACAGCAACTGGTGGATGAGAGAGATGCTAGCACTGCAGTCCACTCCTGGCGCTGCTCAGACCCACTTGCTTCTTACGTTAACTTTGCTCCTTGCAGGCAACACTACTTCAGATTCTGGTTAGTCACAGTTTCTCACACAGAAAGAGGTAGCAGAGCAAACTACAGCTTCATCTGCTGAAGTTTGTCCCAAGGTCATACCATAGTCATCATGATCCTCTTCCATCGCCTTTCTAGCTGCTCCTCCTCAAGATAATCTGCTGGTTTAAGTAGATTGCCTACAGAGGTAAAAAAATTATGGTTAAATCATTATTGAATTATTATTCTGCAAATCTAAGTAGATTGCTGGGAGGGGCACAAAAATCATCATTCCTAAGATGTCTGAGCACCTGGTTACCATGCTCTACTCAGGTTATTGTTTCTGGGCTGGCCATTTACACTGAAACAAGACACAGGAATATCAAAATATGTCCCAACAGATCACCCAAGTGACAAACACATTGCTCCCTGCCCCCAGTATGTGGGATCATTGCCAGTCCTCATGATAACCAGGTCCACTTCTCTGCTAATGGAGTAGCAATGTAGTAACAAGAAGCCCAAAGTAATTGGCAATAGCTTTCAGTTTACTGAGCCTCTTGCTGTATCCCTGGTGGAAGTTTCCCTCCACTGGGACCTGGGACCTTTAGACTTAAAAAACCTAAAGTTTCAGGGATGGATCACTAGGTGCCACCTAAGAGATGGTGACAGTGGGTAGGGTCCATCTTATGTCCACCCTTTGATTCTTGGACTCATGCGTTCTATCTAATGGGGACAGAGTACCATAAAATATCCATTGCTTCAAAGTATGTAATACCCTAAAAGATGGCACCCATCCTCACAGGGTATCTATCACCTCTAAGCTGGTGCCTCAGTTGTGTCAGAGACTGGTAGAATCAGTGAACCCCATGGTCATATGCCTACTGCCATACCTTCTTTGCCATAAAATGAGTTCCTTGGTCCAATTACCATGATGTTATACATGAAGTGTTCAAAGATGATGCTCTGCAGTGTGTCCAGAGAGTCCCAGTCCCTTCAGATTATATTTTGATTGAACTGGAGAATCAATATAACACTTAGACAAGTTCATGATGGCTGTTGTTCATCCATATGAATGAAAACTGCTTCTGATCCTCCTTCCCAGTGGGTATTGAATATAACATATTTACCAGAACAATACCACATAACTTGTGTCCAGTTAACTTGCCTTAGTGCACATAAAGTGTGGCAGCTACAATTGAAACTACAACTTGATTAAGTCAGCAGAAGTGCACTGCCATCCACCATAACCCATCTAGTTTGTGTATCATCTAAACCGGTGAACCACATGGGAATTTGAAGGGGATCCTCACCCCACATTAGAATGGTACTAATCTGTGCAGTTTTCCTCAGGATGTGATGATTGATTTTGATTTACTAACTTAGCAGAGGAGAAAGTTTCAAGGACTTCCACTTGGCTTTTGATAATGCAATATCCAATCAAGAAAACAATCGTAGGATTCTACCAGCTTCTAACAGGTCCATGCAATTATACATTTAAGTTCTAGGTGAATCGAGTGTGTGAACCCAGCAGATCCACCATGAAATGAATCAGGCTCAGGACTCCATTTACTTCCTGACATTTATGTATTCCCTTTCTAACAGGGGGACCCACGATAATGCTGTAAACATCAACTCATGCTTTGCATCTCATAGCCCACCAATGATCTGAGTATGCCCTTTTTCCTAGTGTACAGTCCCCTAAGTAAAGAGATTTTGTCTTTTGGGGGAAGGACTTAGCAAGGCACACTTGCTATAATGTTGCAGTTCCTTTCTCATGGAGACCCCCCATCTCCTTCAGTCAGTGGGTTCTGGGTCTGAGGATGGAGCAACATATTAAGACTCTGCATCCAGTTACCTGACCTCAGCCTTTTGCTCATCTATTTTTTTAAATTTCTTTAAACTTATGTACACATAATACCCTTGCAGGCTGCTCACCTGTCTTTCCCTTGAATAAGGTAGCCATTTCCACAGATACTTTGTAACAGCTTCCACCATTACCCACCATTCCAACCTTGCTTCTGTTTGTGGGGATTGTGCTTCTGACAGTTAGCCTGTAGCTCTGTAGCCTCTGCTGATCTGGAATCCTATCATCTCCATTGCTACAGTGAACCCCAGTCCTGTAACAGCATCTTCTACTCTCCCTGGCCTAAGGACTATATTTCTGTACTGTTGGAATCCCCCTCATCAGCAGATGTCTCATCATGTAAATAAACAGAAAGTCCATGCAAAATCAAGTATGGTATTGTCTGAACAGACCCATTTTTTGTGTGTCCATTTTTTATCTGTTTTTTCCTGCCTCCACAATCTATTACTACAGGGCTAAGATTGCTACTTCATTTCATGCAAGTCATCACTTTTTCCAAGCAACCAAGAGCTAACCCAGTCCTATACAAGACATCGCCCAGACCCTTGCAAGGGTGTTAAATTCTGTGTCACAACAGAGTGATCCCATATTGGCAAACAGACCTTCAGGGCCAACTCCCAGGCCTACTCTTTGGGCATAAATGTCATTCAAGTCCTGGTACTCCCTTGGTATATAACTTGTCTCCTCCCTCAGTAGTCCATCACTCTCCTAGCTGAGATATGCTGCGATACAACTCAAATTATCAGTCTGACTTCCATGATGGAAATCACAGATCCCAGTAATAGTCTTATAAGAAACCTGCTACTCTGAGACTTCTTTATAGTCTTCAAGAAAGAGGCTCCCTTTTCCAACAAGAGAGGAAGGGCTCTGCTGCTACTATTAGCCAGAAGTATTCAAGAATATGCATATTTAAGGTTCTCAACTGCCCAAACCTCAGGATCCTACTCCTTTGCTTCTAGGGCCCTGACTTTGGCCTATAAGACTTGTCTAGGCTGAGAACTTAGTCTTTTTTAAAGTTCTGCCTCTTTTACACTGATGATGTGAGTCTGATCTCTAAATCTGTCTGCCCTCTAGCTATAGGAGATGTCTCTTTAAATGCTGCTTCTGAGACTTTCTGACTCCCACAGTTTGCCTTAAATTCAGAATAATATATATGAGACTGTGTGGCAGATGGACTCTTAAATGGCTCCCAGTGACTCCTGCCTTTTGGCATTTATGCCACTGTATAATCCATTCCCTTGAGTATGGACTGGCCTTACAGCTTGATTTTAACCAACAGAATATGGCAAAAAACAATAGAATGTCACTTCCATTATTAGGCTACAAAAGACTATCACTTACTTCTTAGTAGCAGAATCCCTTTCTTGATGCTTTGATGAATTAATCTGCCATATTGGAAAGGCTCATATGGCAACGAACTGAGGATGGTCTTTACCCAACAGTTTAGAGGAAACTGAATCCTGTCAACAATCACACAAGCTTGAAAATGCATACTTTTACCAGAGGATAAACTTTCGAGGAGAACCCAGCCCTGGATATCTCGATTGCAACCTCCTGAAAGATCCTATAGCAGGGACTGAGTAAGTCATCCCTGAACTCTGACCCATAGAAACAGTGAGATACTGTGTGTTGTTTTAAGCTGCTAAACTTGTGATAATTTGTTACACAGCAGCAGTAACTAATAGAGCGTGTCATTTTCTCTCTTCAAAACATCAATGATACTAGCAGTCATCCAAATCCAGTCCTTATATTTCCAGCTTCCTCATATTTCTCAAAGCCAGAAACATTGCCATAGCTACAGCACTCCCTGCAACCTGTATCTTCAACCCAGTTTACCACCATGGGTGAAAATTCTAGCTTGGAGTCCACAAACATTTTTTGGAAAGGACACAACAATAAATACTTTAGACCTTACAGGCCTACCCGTGTCTTTCAAAATTCAGCTTTGTCTGATAATTCATAAATGAATGTGTTCCAATAAAACATTATTTGCAAAAAGCAGTGATCTGGATTTGGCCCACAGGTCTTAGTTTGCTGACCTGACCTCTAATCTTAACAATCTCTCTGCTACATAATGCCAGGGACTGACAATACCATACCTACCCCCAGTAACGCAGTGGCCCCATTGCCAGCCACCTCCAGAATCCCATCTTTGACAGATGCCTAGGATCACTTCCAGGACCATCTATCTTGGCTTGGGTGCCCTGAAAGCAGAACCTAAGGAAAAGATTCTTGGAAGTGATTTACTGAGGGAATGTTCCTGGAAGTAGAAGGGAAGAGACAGAAGAGGGCAAGGAATGAAGCTAAGCAAGGATGGGCATTCAGCTGAGAACTGTGCGAGCCTTGTCTCACAGGAAGCTCTGGAGAACTGGAGTTCAGTCCGCTCTGCAGCACAGGGGGCCTGCAAGGGCAACTTTTATACTCCTTCTATATCAGCTAATCACTGAGTGTTATCTATCCTAACGGAGGAACAACCAAGCAAGCCAGCTTTCCTTCTCAGAAGAAGAGGGCAGCTGTGAGCTCTGTGACTGCGCTTCACCACAGCTGGGATGTGGTCCTTCCCTATTCCTCCCCTGGGGCAACCTTTTTACCCCCAATTAAACTTTTGTTAATAGCCTGGAAGCATTTTCATTAATTTCTAACAGATGGAAACAGGGTAGTTAATACACAAAGAATATTAATGATGCCCAAAAGGATGCAAAATATTTCTGTTAGTTTTTGTTGCATATTTTATAGGTGTTGCTGATGATCATGTTCCTTAGCCCTGTTGTCATAACCAGAACCAACGTAGTCAAAGCGGGAGGAATTGAATAATAGTTTGGGGAGCAATTAAGGAAAACATGGGTGGTATCAAGATGCAAAACATAGCTCAAAGTTGTCATGTCATCTGGTGCTCAGCAATTCCATAGTGTAATAGCAATCACCACAGGGCCCACCTGCTTCAGTTTCTATCATTCTTGATCCCATACTAATTGTGTGAACTTCAACAAGTTACCTAAATATGTCTCAGTTTCCTATCTGTAAAATGGAGCTAATACTACTATGCACTTCATAAAGTCGTTGTGGGGAATAAAATGAACCAATACCTGAAAGTGCTTGCAACAGTATTTGACACATAGTATACACACTTAGTGAATGTTAGCTTTATTGTGATGATTGCTGGTGTTATATTTCCCGTGATCACTAACTTATCTACTGTTATATTTCAATGTACTCTTAATGTACTCTTGCACTCTGTGTTTTGGGCTCTATTTTCTCATAGTCCTGCACTTTAAGATGCTCAAACATAGGATTGGGTAAGTTTCCTCTCAAACAAAAATAAGAGTCTTCTTCCTA